GCGTTAAATAGCCATGTGAATGAGTATCGTAAACTCGGGTGCACATGTTTTCATTGCTGTCGGCATCTATTTTCCCCAGCATTTAACACTGAAGTTTGCCTCATTTCCATCCAAGGTGAAACTACTCATATTATCGTTAGCCCTTTCATCAGTACTAATTTCCAGCAATGAACTGAGAACTTCAACCATTAAGCTCCTAAATATCATCGAAGAACAACTTAAAACTAATATTCCTTCGAAATGAAGCAAAAGCTCAAGTCGTTTCAAAATTACGCCCTCTTCCAGCGCAAGCGATGCCGGAACCGAGAACACATCGTGTCCATCACTTGAAACAAACTTGTGGTCCATGTGCCCCGTAATTATGCTTAACGAGCTCTCTTCCCAAGACTTGGCGATCGCTTCTCGGCGCTCAAGAGTGCATGCTGTTCAGGGCTCACCTCAATAAACTGAAACTTCTATCTAAGATGTTCAGTTCTTCGGTACAGTTCCCAAAAGCTTGTAATTACTTTAAAATGAGTACTTCTGTTCTTGAGAGTTCAAGAATATTTGAGAGTTCTTGAATCAAAGTTTAATTTTCACATAAACTTTATCAATTAACCAATGATTATGAAATATTTCGCTAATTTAAGGCTTTGAATTTCAGAGAGTAATTCAATTTAGACCTGTGAAATTCATATTAAATTTTCAGCGATGATTTTGGCCCGATCCCGAAATAAATTTAATTGTCCATATTATCAAAAGCTTACTCGGCTCTAATTTTCCTTACCAATAAATATATTTTTTAGGAGAAACAACCTAGTTTTGTGGAAGTATAGACAAATTCTTAACGGCAATCGTTGCCCAGGATACCATCGGATATTGGATGAATAGATTGTTTGGATATTCATTGGACGCGATATCGGGACCAAATCAGGATTTTAACGCGAGCTCTGCAACGATGTTCGGTGATTCACTTGCCTTCACTGACCGTAATCTCATTAGTTTGGTTTTTCAAATGGAGAAATAAAGCTGCCTGAAATATCAGCCCCGGGAAAGTGGACTTCTCCATGGTTGATTCGGTAATCCGTCCTTAATTCATGATGACTCACGGACGGAAGATCAAAACGCGCGTCATGGCCTTAATAATAAAGGTTAAGTTTCTCAAGCTGTTGTCTATCAGTGATTGAAATGAGAGGAAAATTAATATATTAGTGATAAATGATTAAAATTGATATTCAAAGTTTAATTCGACATTCATTTAAAATCTGTTAATATGCGCACGTGTGACCGTGAACTGACAACTCCAATGTAATTATAAATGAGTCTCATTTTCGGAACACTATACATAATTCATAGGAACTAAGCCATCCAATAAAGTTGCGAGTATTCATTCAAATAAATGATCATGCTAAGAAATAATTTTGTCGAAAATTTAAAGACAGTAAAAAACTAATTCAAACTTTCTGCATATGAGTTAATCTCATTGAGTTAATCTCATTCATAACTCATTCAAACCTTCTGCATATGAGTTAATCTCATTCATAACTCATTCAAACCTTTTGCATATGAGTTAATCTCATTCATAACTCATTCAAACCTTCTGCATATGAGTTAATCTCACTCATAACTCATTCAAACCTTCTGCATATGAGTTAATCTCATTCAAAACTAATTCAAACCTTCTGCATATGAGTTAATCTCACTCATAACTCATTCAAACCTTCTGCATATGAGTTACTCTGTTACTTGTAGTACAGCAAGATAGAATGAGTCCGTTTATAAGCAGCATCCCAATAACTGCGCGCACCTTAGTAGCGCAATATTAGGTGCTCACAGCATCGTAATGTTCTCTTTACTGTGCTCATTACACTTCAATAAAACCATAATGGTGTTCTTACCCTTGAATTACCTACCACTACTGTAGACTGTGAAAGTTGTTAAGTTTCCATGCCATTGTCTAGCGCTTCCCTGCTGTTATGCTCAAGCTTAAGTCACATCTTGAGTGATATTTTTCTCTTGTGATGTTTTTGATGCATGCGACAAAAAAAAAAAAAAAAAGANAAAAAAAAAAAAAAAAAAAAAGAAGAAGACTCAAACGTGAGCAAATTAAGCAGTTATGGACGGAACTAATTTTCGAGAATGATATTAAATTAGGGTAAATGAATTATCAACCATTACATTCAAAATCGAACATTTTTGATTAGTTTTATAAGAAGTTCTCAACGCGTTATGCCAAAGAGTTCCGTAATTATGTTTAATCCAAGAGCAGATCTTTTATTTTATCCCTCATGAATGCGAAAACAGCATAAAGCCAACGCATTCAAATGAAAATAAATTCAGTCTTATTTACCAGAACATAATGCAAGGCAGTGAAAATTCATTTAGATAATTTCATTTTGGTTGCTGCCATCACTTATTTTTAAATTATTTAGTTGGTTTCGATGCAAAGTTTTGAAGCTCCAGGTGCGTATCGTTCACACAAGTATTGGACGCGAGTTGTAGAGTTAATTAGTTTAATTCCTTAGAAGTCTTCGACGTGATGTGACAGTTACGGGAGTAACTTGACTAGTATGTCTTGGTTGGCTGCCTAATTAACCCATACATCACAAAAGGGGCAGCCACCAAAACAAATTTCAAGGCGAATTCATGTAAAGCAAGCGTAGTTTTGGCGTCACTCTGAGCCCATAAACCTGTACGTTATTCTCGGTAGCTCCAATTCAGCTAGACGGTTGAAACATCAAAGCAGCAAGGGCGAATATTTACGAAATTTTTTGTTAATCGTGCCTTTTTAAATGGGAGACTCTTTCATTGTCTCGTTTTTCTTCATGGTGAATGAGCAAGGAGCTTGCAAGCAGCATCAAAGATTCACGTTTAAATGTACGACGTCTTATTCTTCGTTTCTTCGATTACAGAGTGACTTTTTTCTTACACGTATATATAGTGTACATTTCATTAGTAGGAATTGAGATCACTATGAGCATATTAATGCTGGAAAAATTCCTGAGTTAAGCTGATTTCTGTGAATTTCTATCGAAATCCAAAGCTTTCAAATGTAAACGGTCTCAAAACTTAGTTGTAGACCACTAACCTCAGTTAAATTCAACTCGGTTGAAGGCAGTCAATTAATGGCCAAATTTTTAACTATTTAATTAGAATGCCAACCGATCGAATTACGTTGCCAGCTTATGAGGAAACATAATCATGAATATTAAGATTTTCTCAATGAAACCTAGATTTTATTGATTCGTTTTCATTTAATCCTTCAAAGAGCGCTACTTGGTACTTTTCAATGGGTATTGCATCGATTACAAATGATAATCGGGTATATGTTGGGCATATTTACCCTGCTAATGCTTGCAGTTCATTTTAATGAGTCATGGAAAGCAGCCGTTGTGTCTCACCTAACAAGTAAAGTAGAGAGAAAAAATCTGGTTCCAGACTCCTGAGATATTCACCCGATGTGTCAGTTTTTTTTTTAATTTACGGACTTCCTAAATCGTGGCTGCGTGCGACACGAGATAATAAGTCGTGGCTACAAAATTGTCAGGTCTACGAGCAGGCTTATAATTTCGAGTGGTCTGACATGCGGGTGGTCTTGACACACAAGCTCCGTGCTCATCACAAGTGACCTGATGTGAGGCGCACTAGGCGGCTGCAGGTGCAACGTCCCGCTGTGTCTGACTTCGATGATCGCCTTCCTTGTACGCGCTGATATGTGTCAGAGTTTTATTGAAAGTTTAAAATATGTGTCACATATTTCATTGAAATATGTCACATTGAAATATGTGTCATAGTTTTTTCCTCTGTTTGGGCTCTGTGTCATTAGTTAGAATGCGATAGTATGGTTGAATTTCAGGAATAATGTGAAGGTTTTATTACAACTCCGCATTATATCTTAGGCTTACATCCATGCTTTACACAATGAATTTTATCTCAGACCATTAATCACCGATATTCGGTGAACGCCGTATTATTTCCTGGTAATTCCCTTCCTAGCTTTGCTGTTTAAATGTGCATGAATGCCCTTCCTTAATTATCATCACTAACTGAAGAGCCATGCGTTATTTTGTGGACAAACAGCCGAGACGCTGAGAGCATTTCATGGCGTTGCTTTACCGCTGCTGTAGGGGCCATCGTTGAGTAGATCGAGGTAGTGGTTCTGAGTGACTCGCTGCAGTAGTCGGCCTCTCGTGCTAATGTTGCGTGTCCGTGAAGCCGCTTGAAAAACGACGAATCTTAGAAAATCTTTTGGCTTTCAGCGTTGGGTGTGCTAAATAGATTCAATGCGCTATTTATTATACATGACGTGGCTAAATGGTAGAAAAAGTATAACAACATGGTTGTGTTATTAATGAAAATGGCATAATTACAATACCGGTCACGACAGAAAATAAAAAATAGATGAATACTCCCGAATCATATAAAAATTTTCTAAGAATCTAGTTCCTCAATCAGCGCAGCATTAAGATAGAACTACGCGAAAAAAAATTCTATGGCATGGTACAATTCCTTACATTACTCGAAGCATCGTAATTTTTTCATATTATTTTTCATCTCAGTTCTTGTTAATGATAATTTTCTTTCGATGGCTTCAGGCGTCAACGTGTCCAGTCAATCACGAAAAATTGCAAGAAATGTTTGTTTTTTCCAAGATTTAATTTTTCGCTGCATGTGAAGGAACTTTATGATTCGAATTTTGAAACTGTCTAAACCATTACTGTGTATATTTGAAATTTCAGCTGAATAAATATTATTCGATGAATCCCATTGACAAGTATTCCATATAATATTTTCAAACTGACCTTTTTTTCCAGGCCATTTCCAGCATATTGCCTTTCGCGGGCGCTAAGCAAATATTGTTGTAAAAATAACGTTGACACGTATTCCAAATAATATTTTAAACTTGCCTTTTCCAGGCCATCACTGCCGGCTTGATGTGAGGCGCGGGTGCTAAGCAAATATTATTGTAAAAATAATGTTGACACGTATTCCAAATAATATTTTAAACTTGCCTTTTCCAGGCCATCACTGCCGGCTTGATGTGAGGCGCGGGTGCAGGGTTCGATGTCCTCCCATGGGCTTGGACGTTTCATCGAAGAGCTCTCATTTGCCTCCTCCATGCATCTGACATCCATGCTCTTACCCGGGCCGTCCCGCCCTCTCCTCCTCTACCACGTTCTGCCGACCTAAGAAGATGATTTTCAACTACCTCATTCTGTTCATGATCTTACTTTTTTCAGTTCATTGCACGTTTATTTCACACATTTCTTCTTTTTCTTACTCCCGACACGTGTCTTCGAGATTCTTTGGGTTCCTCTCGATCGCAGTTCATCCAACCTTTTTGGCAATCGCCGTAGATGGGACACCGCCAAGCTCCATCAGGGATACCCGCAGCGTTAAACCTCCCTCTCGAAGTGACTCGTTCTCCACCATGTGTCCAAATCCATGCACTTGTTCCCCCAGCCTTCCTCCTGCCATCCTCCCAGGTCTCTGGGACATTCCCCCTCGACGAATCACGACGACTCTTCCTCCCGGTCGCGTACCCTTGGCCATGTCATGCGCGGGGCAAGGGCTACGTTCAATGCCCGTCCCTTTGTTGGAAGCAAGCGAGCCGTCAAACGAAATCATCGTGGCAATGTGAGTACATCATTCATATCTTCACTCTTCTCATAACTCAAGTGGAAAATTAAGCATTGGTACGGCAGCTTCTTCTTTGAGCAACTGGCCATTAATTGATTCCAAAGTCGGGTTCATATAGCGAATAACCCTGCTTAGCATGCAATGGTGAACATACTTTGCATTGCTGAATTATGCTGCTTGGTATGACAAAAGAACTCAGAAAATTTAAATATAAATAAACATGGTGACACGGAAAATTAATATATGCGCAAATGAAACTCCTGCCCGATTCTCTTCCGAATTTATATGAAAATAACATCCAAAATAGGATGAATAAATTTGAAAATCGAATGCGACATCATGAACTTATTATTATAATGGTCTATTCTCCGTATCCATCAAGCGTTTGATTCGTGCATGAGATCTAGGTAGCCATTTAATATATTTAATATCTTCTACAACCCATAAATCAACCTTAGTTGATTTATGTGTCCTCCAATCCTCATCCATCGCGTGCGACGACTTGGATATCGTTTAGTCGACAGTTTAGTGAACAACATCAACGTTTCAAATAATTTTTTAAAAATAAAAACATTATTTTAATTGGGGAAGCAATTTTTCTGTACAACTGGTGATGGACATAAAATGCTGATCTTATTGCAGCTTTATAATTTGAAAATTGCCCGAAATAACTAGATATTTATTTGTTATTTAAAAATTTCTCTACTGACGAGCTTCAACCAAATCCCATTTGTTCGCCTTGCCTTACTGCTATCTGAATAAATACTTTTTATAAAAAGGCGTGGTTTAAATTCTTATAAGCTCAGTCCTATGTGCAAGTGAGATTAAACTGCAACAAAAAGCTATTTTTCTGCAATACAGTTCACTTTCAGCAGGGATATTTCAACGAAAAAAAAAATAAAAAAATCTCAAATGAAACTTGCCATTCAACAGGGATTTGAGTGACAACTTAGTGGTGGAACTCCAAGACTCGGCGCTCACGAGCTACCCTCACCTCAAACAACTGTGAGTCGTCAGTGCCTTCGTCGTCCTATATATACTTAATCCTTGTGCAATTGTATATATACAATTGTACCTAAACTCGGTACGATTATTGCGTCATAAAATTACGCAGTCGGACATGGGTTAAATGACCTCAAAGTTGTGATTTCCCTTGATTCGAGCCTAATTTTAATACTTCATATCATTGAGTAGCGCCAAAAGATGTTGTAATTAACTTTTGATGTATCAAGATTGTCCAGATAATTTATACCGAGAACTATACGCACTATTCTCGGTAGGAGATTTGAATATATTTATAATAGATTTGCTGATAATAAAATAAATTTAGTTTTCCCGCTCTAGCGCAAGTGATTGTTCTGTCTAAATAAATTTCCACGAAAATGATTTTTTAATCCGAAAATTTCATTCTGCAGGAAATTGTCTGGGAACAACCTGCAAAGCATCGCTCCCCATGCATTTCTCACACCACCCCTTCGAGTTCTGTGAGCATCTTATTCCTATGCTAAGCGGTTAATATTTAACTTATAATAATTATTTTCAACTTTCCACTATCTACTTATAATATCTGTGCACTAGATATTTTGGCACGTTCTATACACTTCAAAACATATAGATCATTGTCATAAAATGAATTTAAACCCGCCTGATTCATCCGAATTCCGTTTTATATATCACAATTTTTGCCAACGGGTAGCGGTTCAGCTTTCTGTCACTGTCATTATTTAGTTGGCAGAGTATGAAGCAGAATTTTATCTTGCGATAACCCCGAATGCTGAACCAGTGAGACGCGTTTCAATTTGAGTTAAGTTGACGTTCCATCAACTCGGTCCCGAGTCGCGCTCCATTTCTGATATAGAATACATTGAGGCTTTCGAGTTTAAATTTATGCTTCGTTAAAAATCTGAAAAACCAAGCCATCAGCCAGGAATTTTCTGTAAACTTTTATCATTGATTGCTGAATTTTATCCCCATTTTCCGATATTTTAGAATATGCATAAATTTAATAAAATGAAAAATTCATAATTACTGAAGATAATGTAAGCAAGATACAATAATTCAAGATTATCCACTACTCACCAATCACAGCTTACTGGACGACAACGTCTTGCCATCTCTCCCATACGACCTGAACCTGACTGCGCTGGAGGAGCTGTCTCTGGAGAAGAACTTATTCGAGTCCATCCCAAGAGCGGTAAACAGGATACTGTCCCTTAAAGCCCTGTGAGTCATAATATATTCAGAGATAATATTCCTTTTATGAACAAACTTGAAAACAGTGATTAATGTATCATATAATGTTATTATTATCTTATCAGGCTCAATGACGTCTTGCTCTAATACAATAAAACAACATAAACTAACTAAAACAATAAAACAAGACAACAAAGATAAAACAATATTTTAGAAACAAAGTATTTAATGGGAGACTCTGCATGAAAAACCTGTCAGATGAATTGGATTTTAGGTTGAAAGTAATTAAAAGTAGAGCATTGGAGACAGCAAGTTCATTCAATAATTACGATACGAGAGACAGTGAATTGGTGTCAAATTCATCATACATTATTTCGTTACTATTTTAATCACAATGTGAATCCATTCATGATTAAATCCTTGGTTATTTGAATCGATTTTTGATAAAAATAATTACGAACCGTCTTTTATCGATCGAGATTTGCTTCGGCGAATTGTTGTTAATTATGAACCATTGTTCCATCATTTTATGGCTCAATTGTAATCTTCACCAAAATTTTTTATTGAATCGTAAGGAACTTATGGCTGAGAGCAAATTTTAACACGAGACCCTGAAAATTTTAGAACAAATCGTCCATCTTCGTTTCGTTACCACCAGAATAACTAAAACTTTTCTCACTTGAAAGGAAAAATACGCGGCTAAAATCCTCAAAAAAAAACTTGCCTTGCTTTCAGTTTGGTCGTATTTTTTTCCTGTGGCTGGTTATAAACGAGAGCGCAGTGCGAGTAGAAATAAAAATCCTAATGCGCGACTGAAAAAGATCTAGAGTAAAACATTCGTACTGAGTTAGTTTTTTGTCCATTTTCATTGATATTATCCTCGTGTCGACTTTAATTTAATTTTTTGCCGTATAAATTTTCCTTCTCATAAGAATTCCCTGCTTCTATATTTCAGTCTTTGCTATTCATGAATTCCTCATCTGTCTGGAATTTAAAGCAATATTTGTATTAAAATATTCAGTAATTTTTCGTAATTTCTGACAAAAAAAAAACAATTTTATGCAAACAATTTTGCACTTGAGTTTGGAAATGTCATCGTTAATTGTATTCGAAACACTGACCTCATTTTTTTGATGTGAATATTTTTCTCAAATAAAAATATTACTTTGTTACAACATTACAAATATTGACGAATAAAATAATTCAAACGCGCACTGACTTTTGGAAAATAACTCGTGTTACCTTGATTTCGCGCTCCTAGGGGGATTTTACCTAAGCGCCCCACCCCTGAGCTCGCGGTGTCTGACTGCAGATCTCAGTTGTGGGGTTAAGTTATTAGGTAGGTAGGGTACCTCACATTAAGTTATTATTTAGGTAGGATTCCTTACATTTCCCTTCTCTGTCTCTCTCTTGCGGGCGGCCGACGTCCCATGTAAGCAACCTCTTGTTCGAGTGTCTAGTTTCTGTTGCTTTTCACCTGTCCCTCCTCGTCACTTCATCTCTTTGAGATGATAACGCTGCTTCCTTCGAGCCAGCTTCAGCGGGCTGGACAATTGAGACCTTCCGCCGCTTGTGGGTGATGAACGATTTTTGATTTGAGAAACTCTCGATAACAGAGACCTTCCTTCTCTTTGGTGATGTCCATCTTGACTTTCGGTGCGAGATAGCGAAATAGCTAAAGCGCTAGTAAACATTTGGCCACAAACCTAACTAACTCGTGTTACCGTGTTTTGTTGCGGACGTTTCATATTTCGTTTGTCCTTGTTCAATTTTGAACTGAGTATTTGAATTATTCTATGAACTTTTCTCTGTTTCCTGCCACTCTTTATTATTTTTGATCGAGCCAATTCAACGTTCAATTCAATGAAATCTTTATTTTACCGGAAATCACAACAGGCTCGTTCGTTGAATTTTCAGCTCTGTATTTCGGTCATATTGGTGTAGGACTGTAGGTTCTTGGATATTTTCTTGACTTCGCTTACGTATTTTCACTTTTCGGAGCTTGAAACTCATAGCTTTTTACCATAAGAAAAATCACAGGTACCTGTTGGTCAGCAGAAATTGATATCACGTTTTTAACAGTTGCGCCCATGCATTCGTAATCCATAAAAAAACTCATACCAGATAGAAAAAGCGTGGTTAACGTTAATTTATTTTTCATCCAAACTTTCGCGTGTCCTTTGAACTTTTCGTTAGCGAAATTAATCCCATTTGTTAGTTGAAAAAAATATCACCGCCCCGCTATCGATCTACCAATTTCTTACATCTGGGGACGAAAAATTCGTACCCTTATGAATGGTATTTTACAACATTAAATTTTAATTAAAACCCGGCCACCCGCACTAGCGCCGAAGGTTTTCCGTGTAGGCCTGGTGACCTTTGTAATTCGGCTGAGCTCTGAGAGAAAAATATTTTTGAGGACATTTCTGGCTCACCGTACAATAATTTGAGTGTCGAAAACTTCAAACAAAATAAATTTAATTGAAATCTGCTGGTCATTATTTCGGAACTTGCAGGAGGTCATCTAAATATTTCAAGGACTATTTTTCGTTAATAAGTATTTTCTTCACGACCACATATAAATACTTCCTCGAATATAAATGTTAGAAGTAAAACATAGTTTTTGGTAGTAATTCGTTCTATTAATGTCCACGAACTTATAACAACATTCATTATAAAAAGTACAGCGTATTTTTATATCATTTTGTTTCCATTTTAGCACGGGATCAAGGGAGAGATTTCTCACCTAACGTTTCCATCGAAATTGTTTTTTTCTTTGATTAAGGATATGTGGTTCATTATTTTTATACCAGTCTCTTTTCCAAAAAAAATGCGTTAAGCACTGATATCAGGAATTAAAAACGTAGATATTTTCGGCACAAATCTTACAGGAATAAAAAATTTAATTCTTCCATTAGCCAATAAATACGCGTGCTTCATGACACATTCCCCAACAAACATATGCTCCGACGTCCAACCGTCCCCCGCTTGGAATATGTTCATAGCTAACTTGAGTTCGTTATTCTTACAAACAACTGACATTGGCGGCCTCATTGTTTCCTGCCTTAAAACTTTCCAACGAAAAACTCTTCTCCTCACAAGCAGTGAACCAACTTTCGTCTAGGATATGATTTGTTTGACGTCATGTTCTAGATTTCTCCTTCCTGAGAGCTCCGAAGAAACTCCAAGATGGCTAATACTTTTGGTAAAATTATATTAGTTTCAAAAATTACCTTGCTATGCTTTGTTTAAAGTCGGAATAACAGTTTTGATAGTTTTTAGTGTCGATATTTCTGCCAGTAATTGTCGAACCGTTGTGTTTTCCATCTTGTACTAGCAAAAATTTCAAAAATGATGGATTGCTTCACAGAAACTGGCATTTTGAGATTGCAAAATTGCGCGGAAGAAACTCCCGGTATCTGAAACGTATGATTTTCTTCATGATGTTATTGTGTTTACCCCGATATACACAATATTCCAGCACAATATTCCAACAGTAGGTATATATTTATAATGGAATACCTAAACTGATTACAATTAATATTATTTATGGTAATACGGCACTATTATTAAGTTGCTATGTTATTATTGTTATAATTTTTAATTAGTATGAATGTCAAACAATATTATTTAGAGTAATACTATTATTGTATTACTATATTACCATTTTTATTATTTACATTAATATCAATGCCAATAAATGTATTTTAATTATAGTAATAGCTTGATTATCATACTCACTTTTATTTATCATTTGTACAGCGTGTACACGACTTACATTGATACTGGAATATTTCTGACGATTTAATTCGACTTTGGCGCGTTGCATTGGCAACGCTCGTCATTTCTTAGTCATGGCTGTGTTTTATTTTAATTCTTTTATTGATTATTGAGAAATATGATGCGCAATTTTCAGCTATAATTGAAAATTTTTCAATTCTCCCTATTACTTTGAGCAATTCGTTATATATTTGAGAGAACAATTACGATCGCAGGCTATGTTTTAAATGAATTTTGTACGAAGCAATCGCTTGTTTTATTGTAGAATTTCTCCTGCTCGAATATTCACATCTCCCGCAAAGTCGAGAAACATGTTGAGTTTGTTAACTTATTCTCTGGGTATCATTATTACAGGCTTGTTCTTCTTGTTCTGTTCTTCAGAATAAAATAATTCGAAAATCATATTCTGTTTCGAACTCGTTCCACGAGCCGAATGTTTTCATTGTTTTCTTGAGACAATTTGGTCTCGGTGTGCTCACAATTTTTAGCTTACATACGTCCTGATTTAATCCGTCCTGTATCTAGAATCCGTCCTGTACCTAGAATCCGTCCTGTATCTAGAATCCGTCCTGTATCTAGAATCCGTCCTGTACCTAGAATCCGTCCTGTATCTAGAATCCGTCCTTGTCCTCTTTTACGAGCATTTTTTCGTTCATTTATAAAAAATCATCGTGTTCAACAGCAGGGCAGGTTCTGTGTCTTCTCGATCACATGTTCTAATCACACGAGGAGTTTGCAATCAACTGATTTTACGAAAATAATTGATTCTATATGGGTCGCACATCAACTTTTAGTTTTTCATTAGAACGCACATTGTTCTAATAAAAAACTAATTATCCGTGAATGTGAAGAAACTCTTAACTTTCTTCATATGCCAATGATGACTCCATTTCTTTACCATTCAGGAACCTGGCGCGAAACAGACTGACGAGACTAGAGGCGGGCGACCTGTTACACCTCCCCAACCTCGTCACTCTGTAAGTACTGTAAGAGCGAGTCTAATTTTAAATACTTTTGTAGTGTCAAATAATTTTGTATATTATTTTTGTCAGGTTAATTGTCTTCTCATAAGAATCTATATTATTCATATTTATAGTATTCAAATTTATCTATATAAATTACCGCGATTCCTAAAAATTAATAAATTCTCCTGACTCACTTATAACTTACGAGAATCGATTTTAATTTTAATTAATACGAACTAGACAGTTACTTTGTTTGCAATGTGTGATTTTGATCGTATGGTTATACACAGAAAAGACCGGGCTGTGAAATATGTTACAATATTTTATTTCGAATCAATTTGTTTTCTAAAGAATTACATTTAGTTTGTTTTGGTGAGTTACCGTTGAGAAATTCGAACTCATATACCTCAGGTCTCTAAGCCGCAACCGCATCACTGAAGTACATCCCCAGGTCTTCGCAGCTCTGCCGTCTCTTGAGAATCTGTAAGATTATTTGCAAAAGTTGTGTACGAGAACATAATTCTTACCTGAAATACGGGGTTGTTTATTTCGATTGGTTTCCGGTTGGGATATTTAGCTTCATGAAGAGTGGAGCATCTATTTTAAGCTTGTTTTTCTTAATATTATTTTAAAATGATGTTTGTCCTGGGATGTTGTTTGTGGAAATAATTCTCGGATCCAATCAAATAAATAGTTCTTTCTGGAGAGAATGAATATTATTCTATAGCGTATGTACAGACATAATGCAGAGGTAGTCTCTACTATGCACAACGAATATTTTCGCATCATCATGTTTTGAAATATTAAAACGTTAATTTGCCTCCTGGTCTACTGCAGTGACCTGGCCAGTAACCTGCTCGTCGAAGTACCCGCTGCACTTCAACTCTGCCCTTCCATCACGCACCTGTGAGTTTTGCAATTCAATTTTTTTAAAGACAAGAAATAACTTCTAGAAGATAAAATCTTTTTCAGGGTAGGTAGAATCTTCCAGAGCCAACTTCCCGGTAGCCATAATTCCTGAAATGATTTTTCTATATTATTTATATTAATCTTGATTTATATATTTTATGTTCAAATTTCTAGAAATGTTTCAAAAATTTGGTGCCACATTATAAGTTTGACAAATAATTTTCATGCGTATTGTTAATTTATTAATAATAAACTAATATTATATAACTACTGATTAACAAGTGTGTGTTTTATTATCGCTCTGAACATCTATGAAATATTTATTATTATTCATCTAGGTAAGTCTTCATTTAAACTTATTCGATGAAATTGCATGAGTTTTCTCCCTCATGTTTACCGCGTAAAATCTTTCCTAACATTACATATATTAGGAACCACAAACTGTGCTATTTAGTAACTCCATCTCACTCATTGCACTCGATTTTGTGTAGAATAAATTATTCTCATGAATGGAAGCTGCAGTTGAGGTGTGAAGCGAGAGGATCGTCTTCATCAAGTCTAATGGGATACTTGCACTTGAGATGCGGGGTCGTTTGGTATCAAAAGATAAAAGGCAACATCGGAAGAAACATATTCTGATATTTCCTTAATCATTTACAATCAATGTTTCGGGTTAGGAGCAATTAACTTTACTATTGTGTATTTTTACATGCAGTGAATCAGCACAGTTTTTTTTCGATTTATGCCCATGTACTGAATCGATCTTGATAAATGACTATATGAGGCATATTTAAGTAATTATTATTTGAATGCATTAATTAATTACATTGATTATCAATTAAGTTTACAGTTAGATAGTGAATTGTGTCGGTTTTTCGAGTTTTGTATTATGGATTTTATTTCTTGGGGCTTCTCATTGCCTGGTCCGAGATAATTATGGCCATTTTACTGAATAATTACGTAAACTTCTACAACGTTACTCCCTTGATGATGCCGTATCTCTGCTGCTGTAATCTGCTGCCATATTTCAAAGCGATAACTGCTGAACCGTACTCATTAATTCGATAATATTGACGTCTCCATAAATGCCGCGTGTTTTGTTGATTCTTGTGTTATCCTACAGGTACGTCACGACCGATGTGGTCGTAGCGTTAAAGTTAGCCACGCATAAATACCACAAATTCTATGCGACTTGCCTGTAGTTTGTTATGACTCTAAGCTTGGAGCCACAGTTGTATAATTGACTGAAAGTTTGTCTAGACTCTAGACCGTTACTGTTCGAAACTGCCACCCCAACTAATTAATTAAGACCGTGGCCGTCATCCACGTCTATGGAGCATAAGATCGTGCTTGCGTGTCAGTGACCTCAGAAAAATCTTCCTGGCGCGAATTTTTATTGCTTATATACTCAGCCATCGCGCACGGATTGGCCAATGCCTCTTTGCGTCCCTCGGTGATAGCCTTGGAATCTCCCTTGCGAAAAAAATCGGCTCCGTTCGACGCAAACAAACTCGCTCCCACGTCTCGAAATACTCCCGACTACACGCACGTCGTAGAGCTCTATTGCTACCTGTTCTCTATTATTCACCTGTTCTCTATTATTCACCTGTACTCTATTATTCAAATGAATTTACATTTAATAAAATTTATTGATGTACTGTCGTAATAATTCTGATAATGCCGCTCGATGGATTTTACGAAATTGCACCATGGTTTTAAACATTTTGATGACACTGAAAAACATAGTAACGTTGCAATTGTTTCTTTTCTGTGAAATTGAAGCATCATTGTGAAAATTGTGGTAAAGACTGTAATTTAAATAAAAATTTGGAATTGAAGGCTTTCCATTGATATTTTGTTCAAGTCATTCATGTCTAAGCGCAGTAATTTGTTCCATAGTTAAGCTTTGGCTGAATAGAGAGCACCCGGAATTCAGTTCATAACTTATAACGATGCCTGATACTCTAAATGGAAACATAAACCAGCTTGGCATCATTTCTGTACTAGGATATTGGCGGACAACAGAATTGAGAGTCTCTCGGAAGACGCTTTTTCCGGACTACGCAATCTGCAGAGCGTTGCCCTACACGGCAACCCCATCCGCAATGTCCATCCCTCCGCCTTCTCTGCGCTGCCTTCACTAATAAGCATGTAAGAATAATTAATTTTAGGTTTTATTGAATAGAGTTCGAAGCTATATCACACTTTTTGCCACTACTTGATTTATATATTTATACACTGTTACATCCATACATATACACCGTTATATTTCACATTACTTCTATGCATTGAACTTGTTGATGATTTTGAATATTCGCCGCTTGTATACAGCTAAAAATGAGGGTCGTGTTTCGCTAGTGGTTCTCAAATTACCATCATTCAAAAAACTGGACGTGCTGAATGTTCTTCGTTTCGTCCAACACATACGAGCGTCGTGCCTTCATTGTATGGCGAGGCCATTTGTTACTAAAAGTCGCCTTAAATCGTGCCCGATGCATGCACTGTTTCCGCTAAGTACGAATTTACGAATTTGAATGAATTCGTAAATTCGCTGCATGAATTTACGAATTTCCGCTCGCTTCCTCACAACGAAATTCATTGCGCGATCTCTTTTTAATTAAAAAATAACATTCAAAGAGAGAATATTTACAGTTTTTAAAACACTAAAACTTTAATATATTATGCCTGTTTCTCGACATCAACATCGTTAGATTGGTTTGCACTTATCATTTGATCCAGGGACTGAATCAAATAAATTTTAACCAATTTAATTACATTCCCTTGATCTTTGAACACAGCCACGTAACAAAATGCGCGCGCATATTAAGCATTATTTTTTGCTTAGAAGCAATGCAAATGTGAGAAAAAATGAAATTATACTACTATTCTTTTGCAGGTTTTCACAAAGATAAACCCGTAACAGTTCTTTGGATTCTAAAAAAATTTCTAAGTTTACTTTTTTCCTTGTACTGAGAATTTTTTGGAAAGTTCATTCTAGCTTCAATTTGGTCTTGACTCAAAACTTTAACATTTTGTATACATTTTTTTCATTCAAAATAATCGTTTCCGTTTTAGGCTTCGGAGTGCATCCCGAATATTTTATAGATATTATAAAAAAGCATTTTTCAATACTGCCCATCCAGAACTAGGAATCTACATTTGTTGTGAGTGATTTGTACGCATTTTTCATGAAATCATTTTAGATTAAGTTCGCTCGTGTTGGACCTTTTACATTCACAAAATGAATTCATACGAATTTTACAATATTCATATGAATCCAATCATGGATCTAAAAAACTGACTTCAATTCTAACAGGGCAGAGTCGGGTTCTCATTTTTATGTAGGACGAGACTGTGTTTCTACCTCCAGGCTACTGATCTCTTGGCGATGCTGTCGATTGTTTTGGCATCGCCTGAACTTTGATAGATGGATGAGGGCGATGACCGGTGGCCGGAAAACTCATGTTATCCTTACGAATTTTCCTCTGGAACATCCATTTGAGCTCATAACTCATTACTCTTCGAGACATGAAGGAAAAGCCTATATAATAGGAAGCCACTATTTTAATATTTTTATGGCTATGTAATCCGGTTATCAACAGCCCACTATGTCCATCTTAACGATTTAAAGAACGATTTTGCGCCAAATTCCATAGAAATAATAAACGATGCAGCCGGTATTAGGACAATGTCGTTTGATTAAATGTAAAGAGTACCTCATAAAATTATTATGAATGCTGATAAATATTTTCATCAATTCTAGAAAATGTGTTCATCGATTCTGAAAAGAATATACCTCACAACAATGCTATCAATAATAAAGTACCTCATAGTTTCCATCTTCCCGTTCGAGTCCGTACTTGTTATGTTTCACAGCTATTCTACTCCAGGTTTCCTTACTAGGATCACTCATATGATTATATTATTCACTGAGTGAGACAGAAAAAATGATACGGACGTTCTATTTTCCCTTTACATTGATACATTCTAATACAAGTTGGATAGACATCAATGTAAATCTCCATAATAAGACCTTGTTTTTTGTAGTTAACGATTCACTCAGCCTGAATGGCATCGGCGTTCATTTATTTTGGCTTTGTGCATTGTCTACTTGGTTGATACCTATTTCAACATCTACAATTTGCGTTCTTCATAACCGTTCTTAAACTTGATCCATTCATCATTCGTTTTATTTAAAACTCTATTTCTTCCTAATTTAATTTTCCGGACACATTTATTTTAGCTATTCAATCTCGAATTTAAGGGAGCAGCATCGTGCTGAGGCAAAAAAAATTACCTCATGTATTTCAAATTTTTTAGACTCATACTGTCAAAACTTATACTACAAATTTGGCCTCGGTTGTAAATCAAGATGCAGATTTATTCGTTTTTCAACTTCTACCATACATTGAAGAATGTGTCATGAATGCACGAAAATGGTAATAAAATTTGAAGAAGAAAAATATACAAGTACATTTTTACATTTTTCAAATTTACCCAAAATGTAAATATCATAGTTTTTTAGACATTTTCCTGTCACGTCCACGAAACAAAGATTTTATGTATTTCGCTGTACATAACAAACATAGCTTTAGGTACAAGAAATTTTACAGTTGCTTTATTTACATTCATTTGCAAACGCTTTCATTCTTTTTTGTTCAGCATTTTACAGGAAGTGACTCAACTGGAGCAGTTCCCCGACTTGAGTGGCAGCAGCTCGCTGGAGACCATAAGAATTGACCGCTCATCGCTGACCCATGTGCCCCCCAACCTCTGCTCCCTCGTGCCTTATCTCAAAAGCTTGTGAGTTACGGGTCACGTTAAGAAACTCTAAAGTTATGGATCCAACTTCTGGGGTCAGCGAGTAGATAGTGTGTCAGAGAAACTGAAGACTTATTGGGACACGTTACCATGCTTTATGTTCCGGCCGTCCAACTTCCAAGCGTCGAGGGTAGATTGCCTGCCTTGGCTTTCAACGACCTAATAATGCTGCTAGAGTTCTAGCCAGTAGAGAGTCTGCTGGAGTTTATTATTACCTTTATAATATTTTTAAAGCAAGACGAAAAGGTGTTTTGTCTTGAAATTGTGTTTATTCTTCAAATTAATGGCGCAGTGTAGATGAAATAACAAAGCTTATAGCAGCTACACGCAATATTCATTAAATATGTTTCAAAGGAATTTTTTGTACTTCTTCAGTGAATTAGTGAACTGAGCATTAGATTATTCGCTGTAAATCAGTAGAATATTCACTTGTTTGCTAACAGCACAAACGCCTTGAAGCTCTTAAGGTGGGAATAAAATATGCTGAGTGACAGGATGATGAAGGGCTAAAGCTTCTTGGTAGAGCTTTTTGCACAATTCAAATGCATTTTTCCACACACAATAGCAATTTTTCTTATTACGTTTGAGAATAAAATCTCGCTATCAAGTCCCGCAGGCCTCCATGGCCTCCGCGACGACGATGTGACTGCAAAGAACAATCAGAACTTTGCTCGTAGCTGCAAAAATTGCTAAATTACTTGTGAATTGTTGCTTCTTTGCTGTTACGCAAGTGAAAACACAAAATAGCTTGTATTTAAATTCCTCATTTAAGTAGAAACTAACTTTGCACGGCCAAATCGAATCACCAATCTTCATTGGCCATTTTCAATGCAATTGCTTTCGTAATCCTCGACTGTACAAAAATTGTAGTATTAGTTTCAGTGCATTCCATTCGAATTTATTATACGTAATATTTCTGCACCGAATATATTTTCATAGCTTTAGTCTTATGTATCATAAAGATGAAAAACAGTGCATAGAGAAAATTTTTCCTTTTTATAAATTGACCATCCGATCCTCTTGTCCACTGCCACTTTACCCGTATCTACGCAAGCGAATAGAATTAGATTCAAGCAGAGACGTGGCGGTACTAAACAAATTTAGAGTTCATGTACTTGGGACTGTGTTTTGTGAAGAAATGAGAAATGTACATAAAAAATATTATCTCTAGAATGAACTAAAAAAACTGAATTGAAAATAATTTTTTACTATGTTGGAATAAAAAATTGATTTTTCATTCAATATCAATACAAAAAAAGAAGTCATAGATAAGTTTTAGAACATTTTTAACTGTTTTGTTCACTCGTAACCAGCAATTAGGCCTCATTTCATTAGGCTTACGTACTAAATCATTCCTTTTTTCATTGATAGTATCGCGAGTTTGTGTATTTTTATCCATTGTTTTCTCATGTACATGAAGGGAAGAAATTGATTATACCTCAATTTCCCTAAGGAACCTTCACCGCAACCTGCTAGCCTCGCTACCTGAACTCGCCCTCTGCGTAGAGTTGCGACTTCTGTGAGTACCGCACCTGAATAATTCCTGCTTGATTATGGCGAGTATTAATCCGTAGATTGCTGCCAAGAGTCGTAAAGTCTTTTATCTTGTCATTTAAAATAGGAATGAAGTCATTGACGAAGCAATGCGTGTAATTTTATTTAGGAAAATCATTTTCTTAGTGTCATGACAAATTAAGGGTACGTTTTTTGACTTGCAGAAGATCTTCGTTGCAAGTCAGTCTCATGAAGGAACTGAAATTGTCCAAGTACATTTTCTGCATTATTTTTCAAACATCATGCCGCTTTGCCGAAATTTGAAATCGTGGCCAGAACTAAGATAAATATCGGCTATAAAGTTACGCTCAACGTCAACGTCTGATTTTTTGGGGCAGCAACTCTTTTTAAACAATCATTTTAGGTACAACAAAAACAAATGAGTTAGCTGTATACAAATTGTAGGACTGTAAGCCTGTACATATTTTTCAGATATTTTATATAAATGAATCTTGCTACATCTCTTTCAGCCTGTAAAAGTCTCACGTATCAGATATTGTTTTTGGCTCTAAAATTGCTAAGTTTGCAATAAAATTATTGGTTTGGAGCACTGATCCATGAATCTCATGTACTCGACGCATTTGTCTCAGTTCAAAGCCATCCAACTTTTGAAGCCGAATTTTGGTAAAAAATGCCGCTCGTTTTTTATAATTGTCATTAGCAGAGCCGTGCAGCAGCATGCATTTGAATGAACCGATAGTTCACGAGAGTTCAGATTGGAATTTATTGAGGTGATTTGTATTTGTACGGACGGAACAAAAAGGGATGAGTGTTTAAAGTGTCCATTTGGAAGTTTCATGAATTTATTACCATACAAAATATGGTCATGTCATTTACGTAGTAAACGACAGCTGTTCGGAGATACTGAAATCGCAGGAGCAAAGTCCGTAGAGTTAAACGATGAATATTTTTCTACTTTATTTTTAGCAAACATTTTATCACCGACTGACAATTAACAATTGTAAACGTAATGTTCGCAAGTTTTTTATCAGAGACGAAAAAATGTATTTCATTTAGCAAAATTCATTTTATCTTTTTGTTTTGATTCTGCGTTGTTCGTTGACTCGTGTATAAAACAATGTATAGTTCGAGTAATTTTCTGACGAAGCTTTTATTTTTTTTTCAGAGACTTGAGCCACAACCGCATCAACTCCCTCGGTGAAAATCAATTTCTGGGCCAAAAAAATCTTCAAGATTTGCTGTTACAGCAAAACCGCATTACTGTTCTCCAAGACGGGGCTTTCAACGGTCTACTACATTTACAAACTCTGTAAGTTGTGCTGAGCATCATTTGTATAATTATAATACAATATTATTTGTAGTCATTGACGATAGGAAAAAATCCTTTAAAAATTTTTTATTATATAGAGCCACAAATTTTTATTATGTAGAAGTGCACAGAACATTTTAAATTTTCATTCCGATTAAAGGTTAGAATTAATTTCAATAATTTAAATTAAGAATACAGGTAGTAGACATGTTTATTTTCCATAAGTTGAAAAGTCACTTTGAATTGAAACACTTCCTCTCTGCAGTACTGCCCACACCAGTATGGTACTGCCTTTGCATTACCATAAGTGCCCAAACAAACGAGACTCAGACATTGAGGAAAATCTAAATAAATACCAATTTTTCAATGATAAGTCGATTATTATATTATAATTAATTCTATTATTATAGATCTTCTGCATTTACAATTATCCTATTGAACTGGGAACGTTCTTAATAGTTTCATGAAGATTTTAGAACAATAACAGTTTGAATATGCTCACTTTTTGAAAATTTACTTTTATACGACATTATTTTCTTAGTTCCATAAATATGCGTGCCCTACATAATTTACTTGTTTTCCATCGCTTACAATTTTACTTTACGGTTCATTCAGAAACTTGGAATTCAACCAGATAGCCGCCATTGGCCCCAAAGCCTTCCTCCCTCTGCAGCAGCTGAAAGACATGTGAGTACGAATTTATCTCGCGACTCTCATATTTATTACTCATATATGGCTTAGGAAGTATTAAAATCACTTGTTTGCTTAAATCGCAAGTTAACCAGGAATTTAAAAGCAAAAACAATACCACAAAAATTCACCATATCTTTATAAGAGAAAACGTTTCGGAGTCCAGCTCCATCGTCAGTTCACAAAATTCAGTTCAGAAGAAGTTCAGATCTAGAAACACAAATACAATCAATCAACTTCTTCTGAACTGAATTTTGTGAACTGACGATGGAGCTGGACTCCGAAACGTTTTCTCTTATAAAGATATGGTGAATTTTTGTGGTATTGTTTTTGCTTTTAAATTCCTGGCCTAGGAAATGATAAATGGAATTATCTTATCACAAGCTGCACATTTTCATGGAGGGTGATGTAAAATTCGCTGGGAAAAATTAATTTAATACGTTGAGACACACAAAAAAACATTTCATTAAAGGCGTATCCGCCTAATATTGAGAGGGATAAGAGAAGAGATGGGAGAAGTCAGTGAAGATCATTTTATAATGTGTTATTTTACTATGATTGAAGATATTTAATGGATATTCAAAATTGTTGCCCCTATATAATTTTACAATTTAGTCTACTCACAGAAATTCAGTATCATCAAAAAACTAAAAAATATTTTGGACTGCGTTAACAAATCAAATTTTATTTCACCAATATATTTTATGTGCTCTTGTTTAACTTCGTCATGCCATTTAAGATAGAATATTTACCCAGTAATCAATCACAGCGACTGAAACACCCTGCCAAATTTGCGCGCGACGCCTGCATCTGATGCAAATGAAGGGATTTGTGAAGAGATTTGGCGGACATTAACCTATCGCAGCGGCTTTAAACTAACCCAGTCTTTGTTGAAATGGTCCGTGCAACGACAAGTGGTGCGTTAGGGCGGTCGTGCGAAAATAAATGGTATTGCCACTTAAAGCTACGTGGAAATGTCGCCTGACAATTGAGACTTCTTGGGCTCTACCCTGAAGCAAGAAAAATAAAGCACCTGATCCTCCGTGGCTATGTTGCCTTGCAAGAATTCAGCCTGGTTTGCAGACATGTTTTTTTACAATTCCAGCCACATCTTGATGCGCCTAGTCTGGCGAGGAACAATTTTGATTTAATTTTGTGATATTTCAATAATTTTAACTACTGAATTTATGTTTAAAATTTTTGTCTAATTTTCAAATGCATTTCATCCATAATCATATTCGTATTTCTTAAATTACATATAACGCAAGTCGCATGAATGCTGATCTAATCTGCAGCTTGAGGCGGTACTTAATTTAATTATTCTTCAATAATTATTTATTCCTAATGTTTTCACAACCACTTAATAAATTAGACGGATATTTTATCTTCCATTATGCACGAATGAAACGAAAAAAACTGTAGATCTCTCTTTATGATTCTTGCCTATTAAATAAACTATTATTGAAAAAATTAATATATAATAGCAATAGGACGTTATTAATTCTAAATCACATCTCTTCTTTGTGCAAAATGTGAACATTGCCCAATAATATAGAAACCACACATCTTTGGCCGAATTTTGCATTTATTCTTATTTGGCGCAATGATCCTTAGCCTTGAAATACAGAGTAGCTTATCATTTAACGCACATTAAGCTTAGCCTGGACTTGCAGTTTCATTACTGAGTTCTTCTTTTTACTTTATTTAAAAAAATGAATCTAGATTATTTCTTTTAAGTAGGAAAATAATCACTTCCAACTTACTCACAAACAATATAACAGTGTAATAAGTTTATGTAACAACACAATATATAACACTAATAATGTAACAGCTTTTCGATTGTTTTCAGTCTGGCAGTTTGATGTCTTTAGGAACTAGTGAAACAGACGACAATGTTGACGTATTTGTATAAATTAAAATTTTTCTGAACATTTTTTTTCTTCGTAATTTGGTTCAAACGTTGCAGTCACATCAGTTGAACTATACAAAAGTTGTTAAACTCGAGACAATGTTGATATTTACCAGAATTAAATAATTGTTGTGTCTTTACAACAACAATGATCTTACCCTAGGACGATTACATCCCCAAGTAGAGTAAAGTAAGTCTTGCTATGATAATTTCCTCCAAGTTTTCATTCCCTAATGCTACTACGAAATAACGTAATACCGTATATATTCCACAGCAATTTAGGAAACAACGATCTGTCCATGTTTCCTGAGGAGGGTCTTGAGCACGTGGTCACTCTGAAGGTTCACCACAACCGCCACTTGCGCGTCTTTCCAGGCCCCGAACGCTTCCACGCCGCCCACACGCTCGTCTTGTCCTATGCTTATCACTGCTGCCCTTACTTGAGGTTCGTCAATAGAGACCTGAGAGTGTCCAATCATTGCAGTTGACGGTCCGACTAGATATGCAATTTGTTGTTTACGGAGTAATTATGGTGCTCCTTTTAGATGTACTGCGCAGAGTTTTTCACCGGCCTGTGTACGGTTTCTATTGCTTTTTATCTACATCCTTTCTTACTCATAATAATGCTCGCTATATGCGACATCAGACGATATTCATGCGGGGATAGTTCCCTACAACCTCATAGGAAATAAAAATGACTTCTTGCACCCTCCATTATTTTACTTTTACTCGTACCGGCCGGGAAAATAAGGCGTCACTTGCTTCTCATTATGTTGCAAAATTGTGTCTTTTTTTTCAGCTCCTTGAACATTTTTGACACGAGATTATCTCGAAGTTTCTGGGATATTAGGTTCGATTCCCATGATTTAATCCAGCAATATTTAATGTAAAAAATTATCATATTGAGGAATAATATTTTCTAATACACCGTCGTTGTGAATTTCCCTATAGAGACGACGACTATGGTATGGCCACGGAAGAACCTCCTAGGTATATCGAAGATGTCATATACAACGTGGAAGATATTCAAGACTTCGACAACTCGCTCTTACTGAACATGTCAGATTTCTGGTCAGACAAGGGTAAGGATGACACGCTTGATAAACCTGCTTCTGACGCAGCTCTCAAAACCCGTGAACAGCAATTGTCTGCTAACCTCAAGAGATCCTCCGCAGCGGCGCAAACTGAACCTCCCCTTGCCACCGACGCCGATTTTGTGTCAGGTGCCTTTTCGCTGCGGCATTATCTTCACTTTCGTAGTGACGCTTCGTTTTTCGTTATTTGTTTAATTCGGAATAAAATTGTTGGGCATCAGTTCTAAATCATTTAGATTTCTCGTTACTAATTGCCTGACCTACGACTTTTTCATCTGCATTCATTCATATATTAGTTGAGCATATGAGTCATATTCTATTTTCTCTCCGCATCAAAAACATCAACTTAAGGCTGTTATACTATTAAATTTCCGCTCAATTAACATTAGCTTTGGTTTTTTAATTTCACATCATTTTTCTAACCCCACTCACTATTTCGGTCTCGGCTCTCTCCTCCTCCTCCTCGGTGTTTCAAAGATTTGGTGCCAATATTGGTGGCATGTCAAGCCTGCATGGATGTCCAGTGCAGCTCGCTTATATTAAACGTGAACTGCAGGTGACATCACCGTAACTGGAATTTTGGTGACGTCATCATGACCGGTATTGAGGTGACATCACTAAGACCAGAAACTGGGTGAAACGGTTTTCCAATTTATTCATTTAAAGCAAATCTTCTCATGAGACCATTTCTAAATAGTATGGCATGTCAACTCCAATCACTAATTCGAATTTTTTTATGAAGAGCTCTGGAGGAATGTTTGGGTGTTTTTTTGGGCAGGATCTATCTATTATTAGAAGGTTTACTGATTATCATAATTCACGACAAAAACCTAACTGCGGTCCCAACTTTTGCAACTGCTTGCGTATGGTGCCTAGAAATAGGGGCAGTGATGGCTCACTGGTCATCCGACTTGCTAAGGAACGATCATTGCTTTGTCATCGCCCATAAATTCATTCACACTATAGCGAGTAAATTTCTAGACATTTTTTTTAACATTTAAAGCCTTTGAAACTTAAAGCCTTTGAGACTAACACCAAGTTTCCTGATCCTTCGCTATTAGATTGTTGGTGTCTGATATCGCCTATATTGCACATTCTACAGACACCTCGGGTTCACACTGGTACAACTGCGAAATAAATTATTAAAGGCTGCAATCTAAATTATAAGTAGGTAATTTTACCATTCAATAATGAATATAGTTCCCAATTAAAATAGTTTTCTGACCGTGCTATAACTTTATATATTCTCAATATCGATAAGAATGAACTAAATGCAGTCCGCAACAAAAGCAGTGATGTTGATCCTTAGACAATTACAACTTTTATTTTTTTGAGAAGATGGTGATGATAATTGTGATTGTGATGCTGAGGATAAAACAATTAGATGGGGTGCCCGACTCTTCTGCTGAAGACTCAGAACTATTTGACTGTCTATGTACGGTATCTAATTCCCACTTGCCGATGGCACTTTATAATAAAATTAATCACATGTTCCTTTGAAACGCACTTGAATTCGATATTGAAAGCAGAATAAATCGATTAGGAAATTATAGAACCGAATACCAGGCAATAGGTTCTTTTAATTTAAATACGCCAAGGATGCTTCGAGAGTTTTCCTTATCGAAATGAACAAGATATCTGTGAAGGAATCTTTCGTCCTCACAACGATAATTCCTCGTCGTTCCCGTTTTCTCGAATGTGTCGTCAAATAACAAGATATCGGCATGTGAGTAGGGAAATTTATAGGAAAAAATACACATACATAGCGGCAGGTTTTCGCTTGTTCAATATAGAGTGAAATGTGTTATATAAATAATTTTAATCCTGTTTTATGAATAAAGTTTATGAATCCTTTTATCTTTATTATGAATAAAGATAAAAGGCTAACACTTAAACTACAAACTGCGTACAAATAATTGAACTACGTGGTAATTTTCCGAGTTGTATTTAATTTGATGTGCCAATGGATAATATAATTACCATGAAGGATTCTCATGGTTATCTAATTTTCGCTTGAATGTGAATGAATGATACGCCCGGCGTTGCGTGGGCTGGGTATCAAACTGAGAATTTTGCAGTAAAAGCGTAATTTAATTCGCCTGCAATCGGGAAGTAGCTGGCTTCATCCGTACGATAATGGAACGAATGATAATGGAACGGATGATAATGGAACGGATGATAATGGAACGGATGATAATGGAACGGATGATAATGGAACGGATGATAATGGAACGGATGATAATGGAATCTCCGCCACGCGCGTTCTTGAGCTGATACCGGTGGAGAATACTTGGAATCTATTCATATATCTTTTCGATTATTAGAATCATTATAATCGTGTTTCTTTAACCGTATGAGCCCCTGAAGAAAGTCATTTATGTTTGTTGAATCCTCTATCGAGTATGTGGGCCACATAAGTCTGATTCTATCAAACAGCGCTACATTTGTATAGGTTCAAAAAGTTGAACACACGAATGAAAAGTTGCTTGCAACAGGTAAATATAATAAATAATTCAAAATATTCAGAATATTAGACACTCAGATATTGCAACATTTCAAATGCCTGTTTGGCAAGCAAGGTGGCATAGGTGGCGAAAACACCAAGAAGCAATCTGGATGCAATAGGGCGAACGCCACAAAATGGGATCGCTTGTTTCTATTCGTTATTTTCTGAAATGCATTGCGTACCGCAAGTTATACCATTTATTAGAATTCTACCGTTTTAAATAACTTTCGAATAATTGAAAGTTTTCCAAACTATAGAATTCAAATGGGATCGGTTTCTAATGATAATTATTTTTTATATTATTGAAAAATATCGCATCTAACAATATCATTGCTTTCTCTCTTTCTTCACATCAGCACGCGCTGTTTATTGTGTTGAACTCTTGGTTGACCTCACACTCAGTCATCATTTAAATATTTTTTCACTCGTTTTGAGTGCATCATGGTTTAAAAAATTTTGCTGTTCGTATTTTTTTCTGAATTGAACTATTTATTTAGATGGTATGCATGTCGAAGGTAATTACATAAGCCGGGATTAACATTAAAATCTAATATTGTGTCCACGAGAATTTCAAGTTCTTCAAATTGAATAGAATATTGTCGATCGTTGCATATCGAATAGAGATGTTGAGCTGCGGCTTGATTCTGAATTGAAACGAATCCATTAACTTAGTAATAACTGAACAACTTTTTTAATCCCCAGCTACATTATTGAACGTTACTGATATAAAACCCGATAAAATATTGTTTCTTACTGAAAAGAATGCTTAATGCAAATAAGGCAACTCTACGATAATTCTGTCTCGTATGATCTAGAATGTTTTTTGATGTTTCTGCAGAAGTTCGTTCACACGTTTTAATGGCGCCAATGTTAAGTTTGTCTATATTATGTGTCTCACCTACTATACGCCCTGAGAATTCAATCGTTACGAATTTTAATTCAATGTGACCTTTATACTTTACTCTAAATGCAGACGAGTTTTGGGTTAATCTAACATATCTTCATGAAATTTCTGTCAGTGTTGTTATCGCTAAGAATTTCACAAGGACTCGGGCGAGTATGCCTATGGGTACCTCGTAGAGCTTGAGGCTCGTTACAACGTACAAGTCATCATGATTACATTGGTACTCAGCAGATGGAATGGCCGAAGACTTCGGCACCATCTGGAGTAAACTTGCTAAAGATTTCACCCCTCGTGTGGTGAAGGACTTGCTACCAGACTCCGGTCCCTCTATCAGCTCCACCGACCGTCCCTTCTACCCTCGAGCGCCGGTGCTGTGCATCCCCAAGCCTGGTACTATCTCATCAACAAACTTTTTCTTGTGGAAATAATTCCTACTATCTTATCATAAAATTCATAATTCTATAAAATTAGCATTTAAGTTCAAAAATCAATACAGGAGGTGGCACCGAATAGCCAGAAAAGCAAGGAAAAAAGGAAATGACCAAAAAGGCGCTATGCGCACAATTAGGTTTACTGTTGGTATTTAAGGTTGGTATGGGGTTGAATGGGGAGAGGAAGGAACCTGTGGCTTTGGCGATTCACATGGAGAAAGTTAATGTTAATGCTTAATATTTACATATCTGAATGCCCTGGCCACGATGGCCATGATGCAGACTCGTATATCCTAGACACTCGAGTCCTTCGTTTGAATTTCCTAGTCATTTGTTTGTTTTCGTTGCGACTGTAGGTCCTTTCATGCCGTGCCGCGACCTGTTCGACTGGTGGACGCTGAGGTGCGGCGTGTGGATCGTCTTCCTGTTGGCGCTGCTCGGCAACGGCACGGTGGTCGTGGTGCTGTGTTTCGCCAGGTCCAAGATCGACGTACCAAGGTTCCTGGTAGCCAATCTCGCCCTCGCTGATTTCTTCATGGGCATTTATCTGGGTGAGGATTGAGAGGCTAATGAGATACATGTTTCTAATAATATAAGATCGTTAATGGTTTTATATTGCTAGGCATCAGAAAAGCGGTATAACGGTACTGAAATGCGACTCGATTAATGCGCTATAGAAGTAAAAACGTTGAATTCGTGCTGTCATTGGTTTATTTAAATATATTTCAACCTACTAATGGAAATAAAAATGACAGACAATGCCTCTTGTTCGATATTATTAATTAATAGAATTTTATGCACTTTTTATATTTGTCTTGATCGAAGTTTCTTGAGTTTGAATTAAGAGTATACAAAAACAAGACGTGAAACATATCGTTATCATTTATCAAGTAAAGGATCCTATGTAACTGAGAATGGAAAAATTTTTCACATTTAATCATTGATATCGAGTCAAAAATACCAACTGTTTTCTTTCAGGTTTTTTAGCGGTGGTGGACGCCTCAACTCTGGGAGAATTTCGAATGTACGCCATTCCGTGGCAAATGTCAACTGGCTGCCAGGTGGCGGGCTTCATTGGAGTGTTCAGTTCAGAACTTTCAGTGTTCACGCTTACCGTCATCACACTTGAAAGGAACTACGCAATAACGCATGCCATGCATCTCAACAAGCGATTATCATTACGCCACGCAGCGTACGTCATGTTGGGAGGATGGGTCTTCGCAGGCACCATGGCAGCTCTTCCTCTGGTCGGCATCTCCGACTACCGAAAATTTGCCGTTTGCTTGCCTTTTGAAACTGGTGGAGCAGGACTCATGTATGTAGTTATTCTCATGTTTATAAATGGTTCTGCGTTCGTGATATTAATGATGTGTTATTTAAAGATATATTGTTCTATACGTGGTTCTCAAGCGTGGAATAGTAATGACTCTCGTATAGCAAAGCGTATGGCGCTTTTAGTATTCACAGACTTCATATGTTTAGCACCTATTGCGTTCTTTTCATTAACGGCAGCCTTTGGGCTGCATCTTATTACCTTAGAAGAAGCCAAAGTTTTTACGGTGTTCGTATTACCTTTTAACTCTTGCTGTAATCCATTTCTGTACGCACTGTTGACAAAGCAGTTTAAAAAAGACTGCGTTACTTTGTGCAAGACTATTGAAGAGTCTAGAGTGACACGAGGCATAGGCCGATGTCGTCACTCGTCCAACTTCAGCAACAGACAAACTCCGGCGCACACAAACAGCGCCTTAGAATCAGTCAAATCCAATGGGGACGATTGTAACTGCCAGGCGAAGAAACAACCACCTGCAAATTTTTCACAACGACTAAGAATTTCCATTTTAAAATTTTTTTACTGTCACAAGAGACGGTCTAAACGAAACATGAACAATGAATTTTCTAATGAACAAAATAAGATAGGCAACAATAATTTTCGTAATACTTCAATGTCGAGTGATGCCTGCAGCTCTCCGTATTCAGACAATTGGAAACGTGGAAGGATGCCTCTCTCATTGCGGTTGTTAGACCGCCGACGAAATAGTTCCTGGTATTTGACACGGAAGCCGTCACAGGAGAGCAATTTGTCTTCATCGAGAAATGACTCTTCCGCCACAACGGCCTCTACCTCAACCTGGAGAATTTCCCGATCATCAGTCTCGTCGGACATTTCCAGTGGAGCATCGAGAGTTTTGGGTAAAAATGACTCTCAAATGTCACTTAAAATTGGTTCTTTCAGAGAACGGCGTGGGGAGAGCCGTTCTGGATTGAATCCGACAGTCATGGTTCTTCAACACACGCCAAAAAATGGAAACAGCTTTAAACGAACCTCTAAACCGAAACTTCATCGACAGACAGCTCTTGAGAAAGAGTCTTACTTATCAAATAATCAAACATGTGACCCAAATGCTGACAACCATTCGGTGTTGCGGGACAATCTATCTTGTGTTTACGAGCAAGATAGTCTCGAAGAGGAGGACATGACACAGGTGACCGCTTTTCTGGCCCCCACTTATCGGATAGCTGGATTAGCCGTTGGATTTATTCCAAGAAAGTTAAGCACTATTTCATCTCATTCAATGAGCGTCACTAAGGAACTAGAAACTGAGGCCTCGCCAGAAGACACGCCGCCAGAAGATCGACTCTTCATGTCCGTTGCTGCAACAGAAGATATTGATAAAGATCGGGCCTTGATAGCAGAGGCCATCAAAAAAACAGATTACAGATTTCATACCACCCCAAAAGAGAAATTACGTTCACGTTACTATAAAAGTCGACGATATCCATCTGATGGCAACATACGGAAACGTTGCGATTCGCCGTGTCCGCTGCATGGCGGCAAGGACTACATCAGACGTGTCGCAACAATGCCTGTGATTCTTGCCGATGTTGAACCCTCGCCGCTGTTCGACGTGAGTCCTCCTTCAGAAGAGGAATATGACGTCTTTATTGACACAGCCGTGCCGCAAGGACTCCTCGAAACTCATTTTCCCCTTGAAGAGCCTCCGACTGAGGGTGATCCACTTTTATAACTCAATTTTTATGTATATAATATAAAATAATTCACCGCGGGCTGAAAAGAAAATTGTAATCACTATCTTGAGGTGATTCTGAAACTCATACGGTAATTCCTTATGGAAATGTTTTGGGTTCCCTCATTCAGAATTTATTACTATTGCGATAAAAGATGAAAACAATTTTGGTCTTACAAAACTAAATGTATTGCGTGACTTCAGTTTCGATGTTCAGGCTGTCTTCCAGCGAGGAGGATTGCTATATATAAATAGTGAATGTAAATGTAGTATTAGCGATAATTTATTTTCGTATCACTTAGTATGTTATTGAAGGTCATTCACAGTGAACTTCCTTCAACTCTTGAAACTAGTAAGTAAACAAACGTCTTTTACGCTCTCTCCTAAGCTCGCTATTGTGTCTAAGCGCATATTTTCTTCATCGAATATTTTATAACTAATGTAGTTATGTGTTATTAAAGTCTTTCTCAATGATACGCAAGTTTGGTAGCTTCTCTGAGAAAATACACCCATGAAGTAATGATGAAACAGTTCGTAAAATTATAAAAAGAGGCAATTCTGACTTTTTCGATCTTGTTGCGGATTTTCAGAGGCTATTACTAACGAATGGGTGTTGAGGGATTCCTGTGCCATTTATACATATTTTAAATAATTAACTCTCCATTTCTCTAATAACTGTGTCTCCTTCGTCATCAAATGGCATATTTATGTGACTTAACAAGTGTGATGCGGTGATTAAAACTATTTAGAGAATTATTTCAATAGGCAGCCGCCTTCTAACAACCCAAGTTCAACAGTTTTGAAAATAGTTTCACTTTCCACTCAATGGTCAGTTTTATCAATTTTTCATCATGATTCAGAAAAAAAATTACAGTTTTTGCAGCTTATTTTCAATTTACTGCTCCGAATGCTAGAAATTTTCTCATCGCCCTAGTACCTGATCGACATCAACAGGTTACTACAGTCCTTTTCTTTGTAATTATGATAATTTTCATCTCCAATAAATTCATTCAATTCAATTGATATCAAAGTTAGCCGAAGCATAATTATATGCATTCATTTGACAATGTCAGAAGCTTCATTATATTGCTTAGATTTTATCTGAAAACTTGACAAATAAGTCTACGAATTACAATTATTTTCGAGACTGCCCTTACATATTTATGTTCGTCTGAATTATCGTCAAGATGTCACGTGACTACGAGTAAAAACTTGACCGTGTTATACTCTTTTTCATTATCCATGAAGATTTAACAAACACTTCACAACTAATTTCAAACCATCAAACTCACTTCAATCTAAAAGTTCATTTAACGGAGGAGATCATTTGTGGGCTTGAACAGCTCTCTCATTTTCTGTGCAATTGTTGTTATATATTCTAAAATAAAATAACCTATAATACTAAAACAAAAGTATCCTGTTAGCTTGAAGTAGATGCTGACTAATACAAATTTAGTAGCTCAATTAATAATTAACACGATTAGCGTCTCAATTGCCTACCATTAATTAAATCATAAATTGAAACTCAACCACAGAAAATTATTGAATAGAGGCTTGATTTTTGGCTTTCTGATCCCTTACGCATTCCCGCTGCTAATAAAATTAAATTTAGATCGGACACAAAATTATATGCTTTGCTTCACTGTTCAATACCTAAAATTACGTATGCTCAGATTCAATATATACTCTAATTTATTAATGGATATGTTAGAGGCTATAACTTAATCTTTTTTCTTTTTTTACTGTTAGACCCACGAAGTTAGACTATTTTACCCCCGGTTGAAATTATGAAAACCTCTAAAATTTATTGCTCCTATCAGTATTGTAGAAGACACAACTCCTGTGTTAGAATGGAATAGAAGTGTTGGCGCTAGGGCATGTCGTTGATTCTTGTTCTTTTTGTGACTTGATTTACCGGAGGTCTAAAACTGGCCTTCTGGTGAGATCTTTTGATAACTGACGCGGGTTTGAGCTGGGATTGTTAAGATTGAAATCCTTCAAATTACTAGTATGTGGTATCCGTCAGATGGATTACTGGAATAATTATACTATAAAATATAATGTCGAAATACCAACGCTTTAACTTTTTAACATTATGATCTGAGAATTCATTCGAATTCATTTATACATTTTAAATTCTCGTATATTATATTTTGCTTCATAAGCCTCTCACGTTCTAGAGTTATGATAGAAACAGCTGCGACACCTGGAATTTTCATTAAATCACAGTCTAATTTTTTTCATTCCGTGCTAAAGCATTACAAAGCATTTCGTGTTAGCACTGAACACTACAGGAAGAAGCAACATTTCATTAGTGTTTCAGAGTTTCAAAAATTAGAAAATGCGTTGTGGCATTTGGGTTAAAACTTCGTAATAATGCGTCAGTAAATTATACGTGATTTAGCCTGGTATTTAAATTATACGTGATTTTAGCCTGGTATGATGATTTCTTAGTCAATCCATGTATATGAGATATTTCGGCATATTACGCTATATCACACCCCATTTCTCAATTCCAAGCTAAAATGTGACAAAAAAGTAAAATTCAATGATGAAAAAATTGTATTCCAAATTTTCAATTCAATTTAAAGAAAAAAAATTAGTTCCAATGATGTAACATATTCAAAGCTTTTCTTCGTACCAATATTTCTATATATATGATATATTTTCTCACCTAGAATCCAGTGCTTACATTCGAACCGCGCTGATTGCCGACAAGGCGCTATAGTGACTCTATTGCTAATAAATTCGACCTCGTTCCTCGACTTTGCTTCTATGGGCTGGTCAGCGCCGATGGGATCTGAAAGCAACTGCAGGCGCGGGGTCACAGGATTTGCCATGAAACAATGCCTGGAATTTTCAGTTCATGCGCTTGCCAGTTTATAAATAAACGCTGACCTTGTTCGTGTTTGCGAGGGTCAGCAGCTGCAGCTTAAGGTCCTTGCTGAACCCGGGTTATTGGGTCCGACATGGCCGCTCGTCCCTTGCATTGCTCTTAAACTAGAACCATCGAGGTCAGCTGGATACTGAACAGGAAATACAAGAACATGCATGATCAAGAACCTGGACATTCCCAGTTCTTCATCCTGACACGACTATAGTCTACTATGAGGAAAAAAATATGTTTGGAAGGCTGTGGAATATTCTCCATCATCACATCGAGAGAGAAACTCGATTTTCGGTGCAAAGTTTAGATCAGCGTTCAATATCACTAATCAACAGTTTATTTAATCAGAAAAATTAAATCAATAATTATTCCTGCCAAGCACGTATCGTCACTAATTGGTGACAATTTTACATTAAAAGGTAACACAATCAACACAAATGGGGAGCATCGAGCCCGTCGACCCCGCTGAAGAAGGTCAATGTCGCCCAGTTTGCTGGAAATGAGATCGTTGAAGGTCCCGAGCGATAGCCTCGAAGTCACCAGGTCCGCAGAGGCTTGTAAGGGCTGCCAGTAAGCCTAATGTTTGAGGCCCTTTGGCGTTAAGAGGCCACCGAGGAATACCATCACGCGGTAATCAGGCTAATGCCGAGTTCAGCTCACAGGCAAAGTTTCTTGCGATTGGATTTGGGAGTATCTTCATGCGGCTCAGATAGATTAAAATTCCGTACGACAGGTAAAATAATATTGAAGGTTTTTCTTTTCCTCTGTTATAATTTTTTTATTTAACCCGTGTTTTATTTATTCAGCTTAGCGTCCGTAGACCCTCAGGCTTTCCATGGAGTTTTGGTTTTCAAGTTCTCATGTGAATAAGCCGAGGCAAAAATAGGACACATAGAGGGTAACACTGAAAAATTTGCTGAGCTAGCTGCAGACCATACCTAAGTGCCGGTTACAAAAGAATAAATGCCCTTTGATACTAATTTTATGGTCCCTATACAGTCTGTCGCCCAGCACAATTAAGCCTACCTGGAAGACTAGCTACTTAGCTACTTCCTTAGTATTATTTTTGCCGCGGCCTATTCGTACAAGAACTTTCACAGGAATGATCTGAGAAAAGCAAGTGCTCCCTGACTGAATGAAAATAAAGTACTGATCAATAAGTGAATAATATATATCAAGTAGAGCCTTAGAGGAAAAAACTTTGTATTTTTTAAATAGTTGTGTTGAGGAGGGCAATATTTAAATTTCTTTTGGGATTTGTATTTTGTAATAATATAGAGTATATATTGTTTAAACAAAAATGTAGGGGTAACATGGAACCCCTCCTTTTTTAAACCAAATTTTTGATGAAGTTTCAATTGATACGAGGTGGTTCTTTGTTTTGCTTAAGGGTACAGTTAATGAGGAATGTATGATGTGAATTAGACGCCAATAGACTTATTCAATTTTTAATGAAACACTATTTTGTAAAAAGTGTTAAAATGGGCCCATTGCCCCACCCCTGGGGCAATGGGCCCATGGGCTTGGGGCAAGGCGCCCACCCTTGGTCCCTTTACCACAATTGCATATTTTTCGTTTAAAAATGATATAACAACACTTCACAGTTAAATATAAGAAAGATGTATTAAAAAATATCACATTCACTCATTTATTAACAACAAAAAAATAGAATCCTTAACTTTAAAAAATAATATATTCGTGGCTTAAAAAATTCATCACTGACGTGATAAATATATTTCCTTGACATAAAAATATATATCCTTGACTTATGATGATATGAGATTATGATATGAGGTTCAGACCCTTGCATCACATTGGCAGAGATGCGTCACATTGGCAGAGATGCATCACATTGGCAATGGTGCACCACATTGGCAATTGTGCACCACATTACGTCTCACTGATTAAGATTAAGTTCACTGACTATTGGAGACTCATTAATTATGCAGGTCATGGATGGATGACATTGACTTTTAGCTAGCAATTCTTTTGGCCGCAGTAAAAAACGTCTATCTTTATCATCGAGTTGGTGTATTCTGTGTTCTGTTCTTTGCTTGCTTCAACACGTGCCGAACCAGATTGCAAAAATGGTAATTATTCCTGACACTATAAGTTTTATACGTTAATATAGTGACTTATAGCCTGCAATATACCCGTGAACAACTCAAAATACACTCAGGGTACGAACCATTAAGGATGTATGATTATTCAATGTCAAGGTTATCATTTAATAAAACTTCTGTTTGGGAAATTCGAATGATATGGTCGAAGTATCACGGATAGTGACACTCTTCGCGTACTGATTTTTGAAATTAACCGCGACATGAGGATCAGGGGCCATACTTTCAAAAAAAGTTAAGAGATCGTAAGTTCATCAGCCAATCATTGACGGCCTTTCAAGCAAAATCCACCAATCACAGACAAGAAAATAGAGCGCAAGTACTTACGTTCACTTAGCGAGTTTTGAAAGTATGGCCCCTGATCCTGGATTTTTTACTGTGCCACCGGATTCCTATAGAGAGAATTCAAGATAATTTATTTTGATTAAAAATAGAAAACTATACAGACTAACATGTTTGTGGTTGTCTAATCTCAAATAAGAAAATATCATTCAGTGCAGATTTTCTTCAAATTTGTCTTCAATTTGCTGTTATTTATCGCTCTTTGCACACAATGTGAGAGGTAATTACTAAATGTGATAACTTTTTCTAGAATACATAGCTTCTATTTTGGCGTAAATGTTAGTAATTTCCCAGATATATAAAGACCTAAACTTCCAGTGCGTGTCTTCGAAGCAAAAAAAAAAAAATATAAGCAAAAGAGTTTCATCGAGGAGACTAAGTGACCACAAAGAAGAACTTTTGCTACGGAAAACCTCCATGGGAGTGTTGTTTAGCTCAGAGAGCTAAAATTTGCGGCTATTTTTAGAGAAAACGGAGGAGTACACAAAAGTTTACAGCAAAATAGGAGCGACGCAGCAGAAAATTCTCCTCCGACACGGATACATAGAAGTAGCAGGTAAAGGCGTGGTTGACGAGAGTGTACCTCATATAATCTGAATCATGATATTATGTTTTTACTGTGCGACGTTTTTATGAAGATTTTCTTTGACAACCTTCATTACTTTGTGCAACACCATAGTTGGATTACGGTACTGGGATATGTTGTAAATATTCAGTACTACAAATACTATTAAGCAATTTTTTAGATCCGCTCAACTGGTCCCAATAATTGCAGAAACGAAAGCTATTCGAAAACCAATTTGGTTTCGTCGTGAGCTCCAAAATAAAGAGACTGAAATACAGAAGGCACATGCGTTGGCGATGCCTTCATTCTT